TTCTTCTAAATATTGAAAGGAGTAGTTGCAAGATGCTAATCACTCTTTCATAACACAATGAAAAAATGTACCATAAATAACTACCCCTGCCATTAGGGCTTCCAGAATAATGAAAATATATTCTAGAACTGCTATCATCAACAACTTGTGGTGGTCTTGATCTTGAATCTTGTGCATACATAGATGGTCTTCCTTCGTACAAATTTAGTTGTTCCTAAATGAATAAATATGAACATTTTAATTACAATATAATTTCAAGGTTTGATCTACTTATATGAATAGTTAAAAGATAAATTAATAAATATTAAAACACTCAAATACATAAGATAAATAAAATTATAATTAATATCCTTGAAATTTTATTAGTAATTCTATTACACAATTGACCTATATACGATACAAAAATAGAACTTTTTTTTAAACTTTTATGAAAGAATTGGTTTATACATAATCTTCATCATGCAATCTTGTATTCAAAAATATTCAAAACAAAATACATAGCTAAAGAAATGTACCTGAACTGCAACCTCCAAATTCCAATTATGTCTTTGTAAAACATCTCTGCAAATTGATAGGTCCTCAATGCCTGTTAAATCCTGAAATCATTGCCGTATTCTCGTTTTATGATCGTGACAAAAAAATGATTCAATTGAAAATTGAATGATGCAGTATGTAACACAATAGATCACCTGAAACTGCAGAATCTTTTCGGTCTGATCGCTGCTAAATCCGTTTAACGCAAAATCTGCCATATCAATGTTATTTTGTCAGCAAACGGCTAGAAAATGCTTGACAATCGTTTAGCTATGCGGTTCCACGGAATGATTCGGAATTCATCAGCTAATAGAAAAACCAGGCACTCGAACAAAATTACGATCAAACTACGCAAGCATTTGAAGCGTGATATCGAGAAAGATTAACCTCAAGTGTACACGGTCCCCAGTTTATGGACCTCTGTTCATTATCATCACGACACGTTTTGTCTCGTCGTTCTGTTCTGTACTCAATGTTTTCGGTGTCATGACTTTTTACGATAATTTACAGTTTCAAGGTTCTATTTCATGCGACACGATTCTAAGTGACGTCAGCTGCATGCATTGGTGAAACGATAGTCAACAGTCCTTCTGTGTTGCCATTGGTAGAGTGTTATTGCTGCTAGCAACCAATAATGTATATCTTAATTAATTCATTATAGATTTTGCAAATAAATTGCCAATAACAATTCGATATATTCTGATGTAATTTGTGTTATAGACGTTTTTCAACGTATCATTGGTAAATTGAACTTCGTTAATATGTATTTTAAGTTAGCCAATGAAACAAAGATAGCCAATGAAAAAATAGTATTCAGACAAGATTTTGAACTTGTTTCAGCTAAATTTTTTGAAAGTCATTACATTGAAATTAATAGTCATTGAGTGCACTGTACTATTTGATGTATGACATATATTCTCAAATTATATGATGTGTTGTGTATTGTTGATAATGTACATTTCATGATACGTTATTTTGTTTATTGAAATTGATATTATACACCTGTTGCTTTAAATCTGCTGTATTATTTTGATGTGTTCAAATGGATAGTGACTTTGATATTAAAATTGAAATCCAAAAGACTTTGATTTCTATTAAAGACATAACATTAAAAATGTAAGATTCAAGTAAACATAAGATTTATTTATATTCTAGGTTATAAATCATTTCTACCATTTTAAAGGATAGTTTTATTTACTGAATAAACAAAACCAGTTTTTTTTTATTTCTCAGAAAAAATGAGTTGAACATAATTAATGAACTCGTGAAAAAGGATGGACAACTTCACACAGCCGTGGTTGATGCAAACGAAACATTAACTACAGTAGCTAAAGACATGAACATAGATGTTGAGAATGTTTTAAATAACAATGAAGATGAAAATGAATCTCAATTCGATGTGAGGGATATTCTATCTTCTGCTGCGTTCCAAGAAAAAATATTAACATGTTTAAATAATATGTAATTTTTATTGTTTTTATTAAACATATGCTTTTATTTACAAATTGTTTTATACAAGGAATAGAAAAAAATACAAAATCTATTTTCTTATACTATATATTTATACTTAATATATTTCTTATATTATAATCTAGCACCATTACCTATTTTCCATTGTTAAAGCTTTGACTCTGTCAACCAAGTGAATTTTTGTTCTTTACGATCAGCCTGGGGATTAATCATAATGTTTATTAAGCTAGGAGAATCATTGACCTGCAACAATTATTTATTCATTATAGCTGCTAATTATTATATGAATTAAATAAGAGATATAAATGATGTTTACTTGAAGGCATGTCTTGAGTGCACGTTGTATATCTTGTACAGTAGTGCAGAAATATCCTTTGCGACCAAACATCTCTAACATTTTTTCATAATGCGTTTCTGATGTTAAACAATGCGGTGGTGTTCTAAAAATTAATATATACATATATGTATGTATGTATGTACATACTATATATTATATATATATATTAATATATACATATATGTATGTATGTACATACTATATATCATTATATATATATATATTAATATATACATATATGTATGTATGTATGTACATACTATATATCAATATATATATATATATTAATTATACATATACATATATATTATTAATATTATCTATTTTCATTTTTGATCTATTTACACTTGTGTTGGTTCGCCTGAGGCTTGTATTTGTCTGAATGTTTCATTATCTAAACCACCATATATACCATTATTATTTAGAATGATGATAATAATGGGCAGTTTATATCTAAAACATTAAAAATTGTTAGTGGAATTTAATTTTTATTTAGTAATTTAAATTATTTACCTAAACATTGTTTCAATTTCCATGCCAGAAAATCCAAATGCACTGTCTCCTTCTACACAAAGAACTTTTTTTGTGGGGGCATTATTTTTACAATAAAGTGCGGCTGCTATGGCAAAACCTAAACCAACTCCCATTGTACCAAAGGTAGCAGCATCTAATCTATGACGCGGTTGATTATTTAATAAAATCGTTTTTCCTATGTCCATTGTATTAGCTCCTTCTGAGCAAATAATACAATCTATAAAAAGATTTAAATATTCTTATTATTTATTTTCTTAATTGTTATTATGAAATATTGTTTCTTTCATATGTGTAAATTAACATTTCATAAATTGCTACTAACCAGATGGGATCATGTCTTGAATATGTTTAAAAACGACATAGTAATTTAATGGTACCGAAATATCCATCGATAATTTCTGCAAAATAAACAAAAAAAATGTTAATGATAAAAATAAAATATGTTGGTT